ACAACAACAACAACAATTTTAAGACTGATCGCCCTTTATATGCTCGAGTGTCCAATAGCGCGTATTTCCCAAACCCTCGATACCCGCCCTCTTCGTCTTCGATCGAACCCCTTATGGGGGGTATACCTTTTTTCCCTGCAGGCCGGGCCCCGGCAAGCGGCGGGGCGGCCGCGGACCGTCGGCCTGGCCAGCGGCAGCGCTGATCGGCGGGGCGGCCGCGGACCGTCGACCCGACCCCAAGAGGAACGGACAGGGGACGACGACGACGACGACGACGACGACGAAGACGTCGAAGACGACGGCGACGACGACGACGACGGCGACGACGAGCGAAAGCGAGAGCGAGAGAGAACGACAGCAGGGCCACGAAGGGCACGAAGTAGGCCACGAAGGGCGACAGCGGGGACACGAAGGGAATGCGTATGGGCCACGAAGAGCGCGAACGAGCGGGGGCCACGAAGTGCAGATAATGCGGGGCCACAGAAGGCAACTATGGGGCCACTGAGGGTAGCAACTGGGCCACGTAGGACAACAACAACAACAACAACAACAACAACAACAACAACAACAACAACAACAACAACAACAACAACAACAACAACAACAACAACAACAACAACAACAACAACAATTTTAAGACTGATCGCCCTTATCTGCTCGAGTGGCCAATAACGTGTATTTCCCAAACCCTCGATACCCGCCCTCTTCGTCTTCGATCGAACCCCTTTTAGGGGGTATACCTTTCTTCCCTGCAGGCCGGGCGCAGGCAAGCGGCGGGGCGGCCGCGGACCGTCGGCCTGGCCAGCGGCAGCGCTGATCGGCGGGGCGGCCGCGGACCGTCGACCCGACCCCAAGAGGGACGGACAGGGGACCGACCACGACGACGACGACGACGACGACGACGACGACGTCGACGACGACGGCGACGACGACGACGACGACGGCGACGAGCGAAAGCGAGAGCGAGAGAGAACGACAGCAGGGCCACGAAGGGCACGAAGTAGGCCACGAAGGGCGACAGCGGGGACACGAAGGGAATGCGTATGGGGCCACGAAGAGCGCGAACGAGAGCGGGGCCACGAAGTGCAGATAATGCGGGGCCACAGACGGCAACTATGGGGCCACTGAGGGTAGCAACTGGGCCACGTAGGACAGTGAGGGGGACACAGATGGCGACAGCGGGGCCACGAAGGGCATGCACATGGGGCCACAACGGGCGCGACTCCTGGGTGCCTGGGTGTCGGGAGCGCGGCGCTTGCGCAAATTGCAAGAAATTCCAACGCAAGGCCATTCTTCAGTAAGTTGCGAGCAAGTCTCCAGCGAGAGCGCGACTCCAGAGCGCCGGGAAAGCGATTCCAGAATAAATTGCACGGAAGTCCCAAGCGAGAGCGCGATGCCTGAATGAAATGCGAGGAAGTCTCGGGCGGGAGCGGGGGTCGTGGCTAAATTGTAAGGAAGTCTCAAGCGGAAGCCGTTGTTGTTGTTGTTGTTGTATCCCGGGGGCCAGGGGCCCAGTTTGAGCAGGAAGACTTTCCCTGTCAAAAGACAGGGTGCGAGCGTCGAGGGGCACACTTTGATTCAGAAAAAACAGTATGCACCGGTGGGGGGGGGATCAACAATAATTATTTTTCAGAAATGAGATTTCCACAACAACAACAACAACAACAACAACAACAACAACAACAACAACAAGGACATGGACATTCCCTGGGCCCTGGAGCTCGGGCTCCTCCAGCGCTCTCCTCCTTTGGGGGGCAGGGACCCTTCCCAGGCCCCGGAGCGTCCGGGGACCCCCCCCCCGGAACAACACAACACAACAACGGTCTGGGTTTAATAAAAAAACGTAAAACTCCACCTCTATCAGAGGTGGATCCATCCTTCATGCCAGGTTGCAATGTCTGCACCAGCGAAGCTCTGGAATCCGATGGGAATCCGATGGGAATCCGATGGGAATCCTACGAATCCTGTAGGAATCCAATGGGAATCCTACGACACCTTTAGGAATCCGATAGGATTCCTATGAATCCTATACGAATCCTATAGGAATCCTCTATAGGTCCTATATGGATCCTGTAGGAATCCCATCGGAATCCTCTTTAGGTCCTATATGGATCCTGAAGGAATCCTATGGGAATACTATGAATCCTATGGGAATCCTATGGGAATCCGACGAGTCCGATGGGAATCCTATGGGAATCTTATGAATCCGATGGGAATCCTTTGGGAATCCGACGAATCCGATGGGAATCCTATGGGAATCTTATGAATCCGATTGGAATCCTACGGGAATCCTACAAGTCCTACGGGATTCATATGGGAATCCTATGGGAATCCTATAGGATGCCTGTAGGGATCCGATGAATCTTTTACGAATCCCATAAGAATCCTATAGGAATTCTATAGGAATTCTATGAATCCTATAGGAATCTCATCGGAATCCAATGAATCCTGCACGAGTCCCTTAAGAATCCGATAGGAACCCTATTCGAATCCGGCACGAATCCTGTAGGAAACTTATGAATCCTTCATGAATCCTGTCGGAATCCGATGGGAAGCCGAAAGGATTCTTTTGAATCCTGCACGAATCCCAAAGGATTCCTATAGGCATCCTAAGAATCCGAAAGGAATCCCACAGGAACCCTATAATTCCTACACAAACCCTTAGGACTCCTATAAGAACCCGATGCATCCTATATGAATCATCCTCTAGGAAGCCTGTAGGAACGCTATAGGGATCCTATGAATCCTTTCTAGGCATCCTATGGGAATCCTCTGGGAATTCTATGAATCCAATGGGAATCCTATGGGGATACTATGAATCCTACGGGAGTATTATGGGAATCCGACGAATCCGATGGGAATCCGATGGGAATCTTATGAATCCTATGGGAACCCTACGGGAATCCGACGAATCCGATGGGAATCCGATGGGAATCTTATGAATCCTCTGGGATTCCTATGGGGATCCTACGAGTCCTATGGGATTCCTATGAGAATTCTATAGGAATTCTATGAATCCTATAGGAATCTCATAGAAATCCGATGAATCCTGCACGAGTCCCATAAGAATCCGATAGGAACCCTATTCGAATCCTAGAAGAATCCTGTAGGAATCTCATGAATCCTTCATGAATCCTGTAGGAATCCGATGGGAAGCCGAAAGGATTCTCTTGATTCCTGCACGAATCACAGAAGGATTCCTATAGGCATCCTAAGAATCCTAAACGAATCCCATAGGAATCTTATAAATCCTACACGAATCCTCAGGATTCCTATGAGAATCCAATGAATCCTATATGAATCATCCTCTAGGAAGCCTATAGGAACGCTATAGGGATCCCATGAATCCTATACGAATCCTATGGGAATCCTCTTGGAATTCTATGAATCCTAAGCGAATCCTATAGGAATCCTGTAGGAGTCCTATGAATCCTATACGAATCCTGTAGGAATCCTATAGGTCCTATATGGATCCTATAGAAATCCTATAGGAACCCTATAGGGACCCTATGGAATCCGATACGAATCCTATCGGAATCCTATAGGCATTCTATGAATCCTATACGAATCCTATAGGAGTCTCATAGGAGTCCTATGAATCCTGAACGAATCCTACAGGCATCCTATAGGAATCCTATGAATCCTATGCAAATCCTATGCGAATCCTATAGGGCCGGTGGATTGTCAGAAAGTCTCAAGCGGGAGCCCTCGGCGTTGTTGTTGTTGTTGTGTTGCTGTTGTTGTTGTTGCTGTTGTTGTTGTTGTTGCTGTTGTTGTTGTTGTTGTTGTTGTTGTTGTTGTTGTTGTTGTTGTTGTTTTTGTTGTTGCTGTTGTTGTTGTTGTTGTTAGTGTTGTTGTTGTTTTTGTGTTTGTTGTTGTTGTTGGTGGTGGTGTTGTTGTTGTTGTTGTTTGGGGGGGCAGCCCGGGGCACGACGCGCGTCCCTATTCAACAACAACAACAACAACAACAACAACAACAACAACAACAACAACAAGAGTCCTCGCCGTGGATCCCCACTTCAGCCACGCACCCAGGGACAGTGAATGACCGTTCGGGCCCCTCACTCTGATAAATAACTTCTCCCTGTCGCACCCCGAGGCCGGGCGGGCCGGACGTTTCGACTGAAACGTCCTCACAATCTATGACCCTGAAGCTTAAACATGGATTACAGTTTCACATATGGAGGGCGGGTCGTTTTCAAAATGTGGATCTCGCATTAGCGCCGCGCACATTTTTCACTTGCAAGAATTTCACAGATTGAGGGCGACGCGTTTTCAAATAAACGTGGCTCTCGCCTTAGAGCCGCGTGCAATCGTTTCGAAAATGTGTAGGAGCTTCACGGATTGAGGGCGGTTCCTTGTCAAACTGTGGCTCTCGCCCTTGTGCCGCGCAGATTCGTTGCTTATATTCGCAAGAATTTCACGGATTCCCATGATCGGCGTACCAGAAATAGCGCTTGGGAAGGACTCAGGACTATAAGGGTGCAGCAATTACATTGGTTCGCGGCGCTGAAGTCCCAGGAATGGCGTTCTGGCAGGATTCGGGATCGTCAAGGCGCAACAGTCAGGTTGATCCGTGGCGGTGGAATCCCGAGAACAATGTTTTGGCATGCTTCAGAGTCTTCAAACGGTTGTCTCCAAACGAGGCAGTTTCCTCAGTGGAAATGAACCGTTGTAGGGGCCTATGAAGCGGGAGCTTGGAGGAAGGTTTTGTTCCAACATCGTTGACGACCCTTGGGTTTCAACTGGTGCTCCTCCTGAGACTCCTCCTCCTCCTCCGCCAACTCCTCCTCCTCCTCCTCCGCCAACTCATCCTCCTCCTCAACCTTGGCCCCCTCCCCCTCCTCCTCATCCTCCTCCAGCGACTCCTCCTCCTTCTCCCATTCCTCCTCCTCCCATTCCTCCTCCTCCTCCTCCTCCTCTCCTCCTCCTCCTCCTCCTCCTCCTCCTCCTCCTCCTCCGACTACGCCTCCTCCTCCTCCTCCCTCCTCTCCTCCTCC